AGCACACTCACTCACATACACACGCACATAGCTACTTTTCATAGGTGGTAAGAGCCAGAGAAAATCCAATTACAGATGAGTCAATCGATTAAAAAGAAAGGGAGCAGAATAAAGGAAAGAATGTTGGAGAGACACAGAACCAAATTACAACCGGATAATAGAATTAAGGGTCTGTAGAAGAAACTGGGAGAAATAATAAAGGGATATAGGCTGGAGACGCTTTCACAGCTCTGTAATGATTTGATTCTTTCTGGGGCCCTAGACTCCAAAGAGCGGTGATGGGGCCAACGCCCCAAACAAGTGGGTGGATCAGAAAGAGCCGGAATAGTGTTTGGCAAATCGTATTTTGTGGAGCAATGAACCACGTGTGGCATGGGGAAGAAGAGGATCGTGTTTGGGTTAAACAGACGCTCCTAGTTAAGGGTGAGAGCCCCGGGCCCAATACAAGCAGGCTTTGATTAGCAAAGGTATAGCCTTGTTCCAAAATACTGTTTGCTAAGACATTCTTCCTTTGTTTTCAAAGAAACATGTCTTTGTTAAATAGGATTACTCTCTTGCATATACCTAAGTCAAAGCCAAACACATGCACTTTTAATTTTACTTTCCATTGGCGGGAGGGGTGGGGGAAGATGACAGCAAGGTGGGGTTGTTAATTCAGCACCAACCTCTACAGCTGTGTCTATTATTGGTGGGCTCTAGAATAACATCCGTTTCTACGTATTTATGGAAAGGCGTCCTTAACTAGGCCACATAAAGAGCGAGCGCATCTATAAATAAATTAAGGAGGCTGCGAGGCGCGGGCGGCTGCCCCTCTGCTGCGGTCTCGCAGGCCCTGCCGCGCAGCTGTCGTCTTTGTGCCCGGCTTTGCGCGCTCCATTGTGGAAGCGATTACCCCGGCCCCGGGCGGCGCGTGCGGGGGCGGGGCGCGCCTTCTCCGCCGGCGGCTGGGGATTGGCTCCGAGGCGAGGCTGGGCTGCTTCGCGGCTTGGGCTGGTCTTGCTGGGATGCGAGATTCTGGTCTGTGACTTGACTGGCGCAGGTGACCTGGCGGCGGTCATTTCCTGGGAGCCAGCTGCACCCACCCAGGCTCAGGCTGGGCTGGGCTAACAGATGGTGGCGTTGGGGATGGGCCTAGGGTGGGGCAGGGGGAGGACAGTACAAAACGACGGGAATAAGAAAATGACTGAATAGACAAGATTAAACAGGTCAAAGCTTCGGTAGGGAGGATAAGGAGGAGGGAAACTTTTTTTCAAAGCTTGGGAGCGCAATCCTTTCTTTCCACCTTAGGATGAGTGCCCCTCCTGGGCACCTTCTTCCGGGACAGGAGTGAAGAATCTGAGTTCTACTTGCAGGTGGAGATTCAAAAGAATAAAACAAAGTCAATCCTTTTCAGAGAAATGAGGCAAGGAGCTTCTATTTGCTTGGCAATCATTTCTGGGTTTTGTAAGACTCTTGTCTTGAACAGGATCTCGTTACTCAAAGTGTGGTCCCTGGACCTGCACCAACAGCATCTCTTGTCCAAAAAGCAGATTCAGGGCCCACAGAGAAACCGAGTCAGAACCTGCTGGTTTATAGGATCTTCTGGAGGTTCCTGTGTACATTGCCTTTGAAAAAGCTCTGGTCCACAGCACTGATTCTTAACCCCAGCTGAAGTTATGGGTTGAATTGTGTTCTTTATGATGTTGAAGTACTAATCCCCAGCACCTGTGAATGTGACCTTATTTGGAAATAGGGTCTTTACAAATGATCAAGTTAAGATGAGGCCATTAGAATGGATGAACCCAAATCCAACCTGACTGTGTTCATATGAAGAGGGGAAACTGAGACACAGAGACAGACATGAACACAGGGAGGATCTAATGTCAAGATGAAGGCAGAGATCAGGGTAATGCATCTTCAAGACAAGGAAAGCTAAAGATGGATGGGAACCACCAGGTGCTAGGAGGGAGGCGTGGAACAGATTTTCCCTTATGGCCTTCAGAAGGAACCAACCCTCCCTACACTTTGGTCTCCCACTTCTAAGTTCCAGAACTGGAAGACAACATGTTTCTGTTGTTTAAATCACCTTGTTTGTGATACTTTGTTAAAACAGCACTCGCAAACTAATACACCTCGGTACTCCTAAGAATAACCCAGGTTTCTGAGCTCCATCTGAAATGTTTGCAATCAGAATACTCAGGATTGGAGCCAATGGAACTGCATTTTTCTAAATATCCCTTGGGCAATTCTAAGGTAGTTGGGAGATTGGGAACCAGTGAGCCCGTCTCCTTTTCTTTGCAGCGTGGTGAAGGAAGAGAGTTAGAGCTGAGGCAGGCGATGTAAGATCTGCTCTTCTTGCTATGTGACCTTGGGTAAGTCATTGCTTCTCTGTGTCTACTCAGTGTTCACTTCAGCCTTACAGTGTTCTCCCTAAATCCAGATGCTTGCACTCACCAGCCTCCTGGGGAACTTCTAGTGATGGGGACTCATCACTGGATGGGGCATCCCAATCTATCATGGAAAGTTTGAACTGCTTAGAGAAATCTTTAAAGTAAAAATCTGCTGTGATTATATCCATAATAAAGGTGAGGAAACATGCCTGGAGAGGTTAAGTAGCTTGCCCAAGGCCATACCATCAGTATGGGACCGACTGTAGATTGAATGCAGGCAGCTGCCAGAACCTATCCTCCTGACCACTTGTAATACCCAGACTGACAAAAGTTTATAAAAGGCTACCACATTGGTGGCTCAAACAAGACTCCTTCCAACCCTGGGAGACAGACACCCAGCATCCATCTCTGACCCTCACACCTGGATGGTGTGGGTGGGGATATAGTTGGAGGTATGAAGCTGGGGGAGGCATCCTGTGAACCCTGGGCATGGAATTTGCCATGTGTGCAATCTAGAACCTAAATGAGTTGGATGGGGAGGCAGGGTATGAATTTGATTCTTGTGTCCGGGCCTGTTCCTGACCCTAACTCCCTCAGTGACCTGGGGCAGCTTTCCCTTGCTCTGTGAACCTAAATGAGTTGGATGGGGAGGCCAGGGTATGAATTTGATTCTTGTGTCAGGGCCTGTTCCTGACCCTAACTCCCTCAGTGTTCACACCTGTGAGACGGGGCTAATAGACTCTACTTTTCCTATCTAGTAGCTGTCTTGAGGGGCTCCAGTGAGAATGCAGACAGGAATATGCCTTGTGAGTCACAAATATGATACAGCTTGGCATGAGAAGAGAACTTAGTTACCTCCATGAAAAGACCTCTCCTCACTAGGGGAACTCTGGCAATTGCTACTCCTGACCAACCATTTCTGCTTATTTTCCACCAAGGCATTTCCTTCGGAGCTTGGGCAGAAGTGGGGTATGGAGAGGAGAATTAGTCAGGGGTGAGGTCTTGTAGGAAGCAGTAAGTTCAAGAATATACTGCCCCACTTCCAGAACACACTCCTCCATAGACTTGATCTCCAAAATCAAAGACAGTCTTCCCCCTCCCTTCCAATAGATTATACCTGAGCTGCATTTTCTAAGGGTGAATCTGTTTGTTCCTTCTTTCCCTTAGAATTCTAGATGTCCCTCATCTCCTCCCCACCTCCATACACCTCCACTAATGGGCAGGACCTGGTTCACTCGTCAGAGTCCAAAATTCCCAATAGTATTATGATTCCCAGTCCCAGTTTTCTCACTGATGTTTTTTATTCATTCATTCCTCCAATATATGCCCTTGGTGTTTACTCTGTCCTAGATGCTGTGTGGGTACTAGGAATATCAAGTGGATTAAGATGAGCTCCTTGCTCCAGGAACTTACAAGCAATCTAATCTTAAAGCTGCACCTAAGTCATGTCGGTTCTCAAGGCTGTCTCTGCTTACAGGCCTCACAATCAACTTTCTCCTTTCCCTTGCAGTGTGGTGGGGAAGGAAGAGAGAGCTGAGGCAGATGATGTAAGATCTGCTCTTATTTCCTGCTGTGTGACCTTGGGTACATCATAACCTCTCTGTGCCTGCAAATTCAACTGCAAAATTAGATCAGCAATAAATATATAAGATTCAGTGAGAGTTTTCTATGAGCCAGCCACTATTATCAGTGCTTTTACTTATGTCAACAGTTAACAGCTTTAGGGGGTAAATGTTATTAATGTCTCTGTTTTACAGATGAAGTAACTGGGGCACAGAGAAGTTAATTTATCAGGAATCACAAAACGAATTGCTTGCAGGATCAAGAGTCAAGCCCAGGCTCTGGCTCTGGAACCCAGGTCCCTAACCCTTTGTATTAACCTGCTCTCATAGGCTACTCACTACTCCAATTTACCTTAGGAGGTCTGTGAATAGTCATAACTACGCTAATGAGCCCTTAGAGAAGGGGAAAAAGGAGGAGAAGGAGAAACAATTCCCTTTTTGGTAAAGAGTTCTGAAATTTCTGATAGGGTCTTAACTTTTTCTCAAACAGTTTTTTCTTATTAAGTTGCACATACCGCACAAGGCTTCTATAATAGGGAAAAATAAGAGGGAGATGTAGAGGAAATAAGGATGAAATATTTCCCATTTTAGGAACTTTGGGGAACAAACATTGAATATGCAGGTTATGTACTAGACATCGTGCTGAATACTCTCACATGAACGTTATCGATGGATAGAGTGATGATATAATCCTACACACTACAGAGGTATTCATATGCCAATTTTGCAGATGAGGACATGGAGGATTAGAGAGGTGACTTGCCTTGTTCGGGGATAGTTAGTGGCAGAGCCTGGATTTTACCCAAGGAAAGTCTGATTGCCAAGCCAATGTTCTTATATCTGTGGGGGGAAAACCTCTGCGAGAGCCGAGGCAAGGATCTGAAGCCTCAGCCTGTTCTCAGATAAACATAGAATTAGAAAAGAATTAGAGAAACATAGTTATTCATATATATATATATATATATATATATATATATATAAAATGAAATAATCATAGCTATTCATATGTAATCACAAATATATACATCTATATAATCACATAATTTTTAATCTTACTAATAATTCTCAGGTCAAGAAGTATGGGACTGAAGTGGCTTTGGAAAAGAGGTGACCCTAAGGCAAGATGCTCTAAGTCCTCTCACACTTGCATAAGGGCTGCCGGAGGACGCCTTGGCTGTGTGACCGTGTCAGTGCTGTGAAAGCACCTGCTGTTTAGCCAGCTAGGAAAAGAGATGTCCAAGATGGCCGAGATGTCTCCTTCCTCGGGGGAGTGAGGAGAAAACTCTGCTTCACCAAGCTCTTGTGGTAAGCCTGACGGCTGTCAGGGAAGCCCACAGACGTCTGGGAACTTAATTGTCTCTGTGTGATGCTGTGCTTCAGTGGTCACGTTCCATGTCAGCTTTCAAGTTCTGCTTCTGCACCAGGTTCCTCTTTTTCTTAGAAGATAAGAATTAGAAACAAATCTTAGTGACCTTGTTATTGCTTGACAAGTATGAAGAAAGTGCTGACGCCTTAGGTTTTCTCCTCACCTCGGCTTCTTCCAAGTCTTGGGCCCCTGTCTCCAAGACAAGTCATTTAGCTGACCCTATCACTGACCATTACCTCATCCTACCTGCCCTGCTCCCTGCTTTGTACTCAATAAAAGTCAGAGCACCCAGGCATTCGGGGCCACTGCTGGTCTCTGCACTTTTGTAGCAGTGGACCCCGGGGCCCAAACTCTCTTTTCTCTATCTCTGTGTCTTGTGTCTTTATTTCCGCAGCTTCTTGTCTCCACACCAGCAGAGAGGGACTCATGGGACCCTGTAGGGCTGGACCCTACAATATCTCTCTTAGTTCTTGGACAGACAGGAATTAGCAAGTCTCCTGTGTAGCTGAAGTTCAGTCTTTTCTCTCCTTCCTTCTTTCATTTATTAGTAATTTTTAGAGCAATTTATGTGTACTATTAATCCATGGATAATTCATTGAAAAGAATTCCACAATCCTAGCTTTTAGGGAGCTGTATGGTGTGTGTGTGTGTGTGTGTGTGTGTCTGTGTGTGTGTGTAGTTGTTTATACGTTATATATATAGTTATTTATATGTTTTATATTTATATATATTTATTTTGTATAAAGGCTTGATAACTCTCATAAGGGATAAGCTGTTGATCAGACGGAGCCAAAGAAGGCTCTAGTCTTGGGTTGAATACTAAATTTCATGTGATGTTACCAAGTCATATCTTTTATTTAATATACTTTATTTTTTAGAGGCGTTTTAGGTTCACAGCAAATTTGAAAGGAAGGTACAGAGGTTTCCCATATCTCCTCTGCCCCCACAAAACCACAGCTACTCAGCTGTTAACATCCCTCGCCAGAGTGACACATTTGCTACAACTGATGAACCTACGCTGATGTATCATAATCAACTAAAGTTCATAGTTTACTTTAATATTTGTTCAATTTTTGGCTTTTTTCTCAATAGTTTCTGGGGAACAGGAGGTGTTTGGTTGCATGGATAAGTTCTTCAGGTGTAATTTCTGAGACTTTTGTGCACCCATCACCTGAGCAGTGTACCCTGCATCCAATGTGTAGTCTTTTTCCCTCACCACCCGCCTACCCTTTCCTGCAAGTCCCCAGAATCCGTTATATTATTCTTGTGCCTTTGCATCCTCATAGTTTAGGGAGTCATAGTTTTAAATTATTACATAATTTTATCTTCTGTAAGATGCAAGATTTACCCAAGGAATCACAACTTCAAGTGAGAACTCTGGTGCCCGAAGGAGAGGCTCATCCTGTCTCTCTCAATCTCCCTTCCAGTTTGTTAAAATCTGGATTGGAGTGCTGTTTCCTGTGTCAAGCCAACTTGATTTGTATAACCCAAAAGTCAGGGCAGCAAAGTCAGGGGAGCTGTCTCTTTCTAACTTCAGGATCTCACAGGAATAGGTACATTAAAAACAGGGTTATTCCCAGTTCTCTTTGTTGTGTAAACAGATTGGCTCTTCGCTAATATGTTCTGTGGGAATAGTTCTAAGATACCACAGGTGACAAATCATAATTAGAATGATGTGTGTGAAGTTAATGTTGGTGAAAATGCACATAAAGCTGTACAGTGCAAGAATGACCAAAATTAAAGGCTTTTTTTTTCCTTTTGCAAGGGAGACATGTATCAATTTGACTAAAGTAAACATGCTCAGAGAAAACCTATAGCCCAAGATGTATATGTGTACTTTCTTAAAAAGGAGCAGGTTAAAGGAAAATCATACTTATTTCATCCCTGTACTGTGCCAGCAGTTACACCCTTTCACTGGGCTATCTCCTTTAATCTCCCCAATGACCCTGTAATGAATGCATTATTATAAAATAGGGATAGAATTATTTGAGATGACGCAAATAAGATACCAAGTGGAGTGCTTGCAATATAGTAATTGTTCAAGAATATGTTGCTTAATGTCCACAGAGGTTTGACAACTTGCCTATGTTCACACATTTAAGGAGAGGCAGAACAGGGATCCAGTGCAGGCAGATTTGTCCCCGAGATTACTCATACACTCATGGTGCTACCAAGTCACATTTTTTGCAGGAAAAACAAGACACCTTTCATTATTATTCTTTTTAAGATTGCCTGGAATTCGAATTCCTCAGGGCCATTCTTATCTCTGGCCTTCTTTTGTTTGTTAGTTTTTCTCTTACTCTCTAATTATCCATTCTAATTAATAAGAGACCACCATACAGTCCCCCTTTTAGCCCCTTGTACAGCTCAAAGTCTGAAAGGACATGAGAAATTAGAAGACACTGGAGGACATCACTATTAAAGGCCTTTCTCAAGCCCCATACTACTGAGTCTCTCCATTGTGACTCACACCCCATTACCCTCCCTTCTCCCAGGACAAACAGGGTTATGACTCACTGTGGCTTCTGACAGTCTCAAAAGAACCATGAACTTGAGCCCAACCCTTCAAGGTCAAGGAGCACTGTAGGTCTTTAAGCCACACCACTGTGCACATGCTTTCTCCTTTAGCCAAGGGGAACTCCATGCTGTGGGTTTTTCCCTTTAGACTGATATCCTTAGTTCCACCCTGAGAGAACTGTTAGTCAAGGGGGGCATTTTTGGGTTTGAGTTCAGCTTACAAAAGCTCTAGGGCAGACACCGTAAGTGAATTCTGGGGATTTGCAAAAGAATCAGAGACTGGGGAAGCCAAGTCTTCTGTCAAGAGTATCAGGAATAATTCTAGCAAAAGCAGGGACCCCTTAGTGCTGCGTCATCATGGGCCTCTGGGCCTTTGGCTTCTTTGGCAGGATATAATTAGCAGACAGCTCATCCCGGAGGAAAGGAGAGAATGAGCCTTGGAACTAGTTCCCCTGCCTCCAATTTGGCTTCCCTCCAGCTTGCCCCATCATCATGTCATGCTCACGCTAAAGATCTTTAATGCTTCCCTTTCATCTCTAGTTAACAAAAGGAAGAATATTTTTATAGCTTAAATGGAAAGGAAACAAGAAAAACACCTCCTCTATGCCTTCCTGCTTTACCTGAACAACTGCTCCTAGTTCTCCAAGGCTCAGCTCTGCTGTTGCCTCTTCTGATTTGCCAAGTGGGGCTAGGTGCCTGCTGTGTGCATCTGCGACACACTTGGGGCTCCTTCTAGCCCAGCCCTAATGCACCACACTTTGATTTTGCATTGAGTCATCTAACTTCCCAACCATGCCATGAGCTCCTCAATGGACAAGGCCTTGTTAGCACTAGTGGCATAGTGGGCATTCAAAATGATGGGTGCTGTAGCAGGGTGGTTGAGAAACTTAACTGTGTTTCATTTGATGCCGCTGTAGAGATACTGGAAATGAAGGAAAGGCATTCCTTCCTCTCCTAACAAAGCTAACTAGTCTGTGTTGCTGAGATCTAAATTTTCTTTACTCTTCATGCAAGCAGTTAATAATAGCCTTTTTAAGTTTCAGGGATTAAAGAAGTTAATAACCTTTTGGAGTTTCAGGATAAAAAAAAAAAGAAGTAGGCAGACCGCTTTCCCCAACTCAGTTCTTTTTTTTTTTTTTTTTTTTTTTAAATGGAGACCTCTATTGTGTTTATTTGTTCTGGCTCTGAGTTCAAGTCCTGGATATCGTTATCAATTTGTTGTCTCGTTGAATCTAAATCGCATTATGTGTCTTATGTATCTGGGTGTTAAGATCTCTTATTGTTACATTAATCCTTTTACCCTTGCATCCTTGTAGCTTTGAAATCTATTTTATTAAGTGTGAGAATTGCAACTCCTGCTTTTTATTTATTTATTTTTGCTCTCCATTTGGTTGGTGAGTTTTTTTTCATCCCCTTGTTTTGAGTCTTTGTATATCTTTAGATATATCGTTAGATTTTGTGGATAATGTATATTTTGTGTGTTTAAAATGGAGAGCTCTATTGAGTTTATTTGTTCTGGATCTTAGTTCCAGTCCTGGATATCGTTATCAATTTTCTGTCTCATTGAATCTAAATCTCATTATGGGTCTTATGTATCTGGGTGTTAAGATCTCTTATTATTACATTAATCCTTTTACCCTTGTATCCTTGTAGCTTTGAAATCTATTTTGTCAAATGTGAAAATTGCAACTCCTGCTTTTTATTTATTTTTGCTCTCCATTTGGTTGGTACGTTTTTTTTTTCCAACCCTTTATTTTGAGTCTATGTATATCTTTGGATATACCGTTAGATTTTGTCTGTATCTTTTGATTGGGAGATTTGGTCGATTTAAATTTAGGGTTGCTGCCATTTGATATTAACTGGCTATTTTGTCCTTTCGTTGATAAAAATTCTTCTATATGTTAATGCTCTTTACTTTTTGGTGTATTTTTAGAAAGGGTCATACTGGTTGTTCCTTTCTGTGTATAATGCTTCTTTTAGAAGTTCTTGTAAAGCAGGCCTGGTGGTAATAAAATCTCTGAGTACTTGCTTGTTCCTAAAAGATTTTATTTTTCCTTCAAATGTAAAGCTTAAATTGGCAGGATATGAAATTCTGGGCTGAAAGTTCTGTTGATTAAGTGTATTGAATATTGGCCCCCACTCTCTTCTAGCTTGTAGGGTTTCCATTGAGAGATCTGCTGTAAGCCTAATAGGCTTACCTTTATGGGTAACTTGATTTTTCTCTCTGACTGCCCTTAATATTTTCTCCTTCGTTTCGATCTTGGTGAATCTAACGATTATGTGCCTTGGGGTTGGTCTTCTTGAGGAGTATCTTTGTGGTGTTCTCTGTATTGCCTGGGGTTGAATAGTGTCCTGCTTTGCTAAATTAGGAAAATTTTCCTGGATAATGTCCTGGAGAGTATTTTCCAGCTTGAATTCATTC